AAGGGGCAAGCGGGAGGGAGCAGCCCGCTCAGCCGGTGCTCCCATTGCAGCGGCCCTGAGCCCCCACAGCCCCAGGGTGCACATCTGCCCCGCCAGACCCGGTCCCTGCCGCCCGACCTCCGCCTCGGGGACCTGACTGGGGACGCCAGAGGTAAGACCCCGAGGTATCGGTGCAGGGGGACCTGCGGGGCCGCAGGTCTGGCCTAGGTGAGGGCTAAATGTCCCGGCTCTCGCCTCTTTCCTTCCCCGCAGCTTCCCCCAAGGATGTGGGAGCCGGTGCCAGGGGAGGGGAGAGCACCCTGCCGGGGCTGGAGAACTCCCTGGTCCTCAGCAAGCTCGGTGAGGGGGCACCGGTGGGCCAGCGGCTCCGAAAACTGTGTTGCGGGGCCCCCAGCCTCCGTGGCTGCTCCAAAAGGCACCAGCAATGAGCTCTTTGTCCTGCAGGTTTTGTCCAGCTCCCGACGTCCGGGCGCATCTACAAAGTGCCCAGCGCGAGCAGTGACGAGATCTGGCTGTGAGACGCGGCGTGGTGCCCGTGAGCCAGGGCTGCCCGGCCCCAGGTACGTACCAGCCTCCGGAGAAGCGCAGCCGAGGGTGCTGGTGAGGCTGCACGGGGCAGCAGGCGCCGAAGGGCCCCCGGCTGTACCCTAAGCTCCGCACCCTAGGTCTCGGTAGCTGCGCCGTTAGCCAAGGCATGTTTTTACGTAGCCCACGCACTTTACGAATAGACTGTTATAACCAAAACGCATCCAAGCTGTTCATAGCCAGGCTCTGCCAAGCTGCGAGCGCTGCCGTCCCGCCCCGGGTCGGGCCAAGCACCCACCTGGCTCTCGCAGGTTCACGGCCTGCTTGCTCCAGCATCCTCTGCGCCCTTGCCAGCGCTGCGGCAGCTGGGTGGGCAGGCAGCGTGGCAGGGGCTGGAGAGAGCCGTCCCAACAGCAATAAACTAAGCTCAAGCCTCTGTGTGGTGCCACGCCAGTTATTTCTCCTTGGCAGCAGCTGAGGGGCTCGAGAATAGAAAATGGGGCTCAGTAACACGGGGCGGAGGAGACGGGACATCCCCAGACCAGCCCTTGGAACACACCGGGCAGATCCGAGGGTTGCGTTTGAGCACAGAATTTATTCGTGCTTGCTGCAGCGCTCGTAGCATGCGCTCACAGAGCCTCCGCGCCGCAGCGTCTGCGGCACAGGGATCCTGCCCTTGGGAAGAGCTGGTTTAATGCTGACCTGCTGGGGGACAAGTCAAGAACGGAGCGATTGGGCAGTGTCTGGGATAAAGGCGGTAAGTCCAGGCCCGCTCTACGGATGCAGAACAGCTCAGCAGTGTCTGTAAAACCAGTGCGGCTTCTAAGTGCCGTGTGTCACTTCACAGGCTGCTCCGGTCAAATCTCGACGGCAGACGTTGTCCTGGGAAACGAGGGCCTAACGTGAAGCTTCAAGTAAAGCTTAACACGTCCACGTCTGCCGCTTGCGAAGGTGGGTTGGATGGCGGGCTCCTGCCCTTCTTCCCGTCAGCCAGGGGCTTGAAATGCTGCAGGGGAAAGAACGCATTAGCGCAAAGCTTCGACTCTCATTACTCACCACACACGCGTGCATCTGAAAACGCAAGCCCCTTGTGCTCAGCAGCCACCCTGGCTTCGGCAGGAAAAGCCTTCTGGGCTCATGCCGGACTGCTAAACGACGCGGCACCCCAGCCTTGTGGCACACCAGAGGCTCCTCGTGTCACACGGAGGTACTGGGGAACAAGAGGCCTAGAACACGTTCTTCGGACCCCTCTATCACAGCCCACCAGCCCTTTGCAAACACCCACAGCAAAGCCAAACGTACGGAGAGCGGCTTTGCAGTGCTTCCAGCCGGGGGAGCGGTGCCTGCTTGGAGACGCTTACCTGTGAGTTCTTGAACTCCGAGTAGAGGGAGAAGAGGACGTGCAGAGGCTGGACCCGACTCTTGTACACGGGGATGTCCAGGATGGCTGCGGGCGAGAGCAGACGTGCGTGAGAGCGTCTGGGCCGCACCACCCCGCACGGGGTGCTGCAAGCAAAGGCTGAGCGTCCCACTGCCCCCGATTCCTTGGGCCTTCGCTCGCGAAAGACCGCAGGCGCCTGCAGTACAAGAGCCTGCTTCCCACCGAAGGCAGCAGAGACTCGTCTTGACTGCTCGGGGCTGAGCCTGCACCTAGAGGTCTCCTGCTTTAAGTGCGACAGGGCCAGGCCAGCGGCACGGTCGCGTCCGCCCCGCTTACCACATATCATGTCGACGTATTCGGCCAGGTCGCAGTTCATCTCTGCAGTCGGGAGGCCCACCTGGAACAGACGGGGCTCTCAGCTCTGCTCCCAGACAGCAAGAGCCTGAGAGCGCGCGCTGACCTCGAGCCGAGCACAGAGGCCACCAGGGCAGCGGCCGGGAATTCAGGCATTAGCCTGCTCCCCTGCCTTCTGGCTAGGGAGAAATGGCAAGCAGGAGCAAACTGGAACAGGCCAGGCTGCAGGCAAAGAGCTCAAAATGGACCCAGAACCCAGCTTTCACGGAAGATGGTTTCTAGCACCACGCACCCACCGAGCTCACTACTTATTGCTCGGACAACGCACCTTTCCCAAGAGCTCTTCAAATTCCGGTGACCATTCCTGCATGAGGGTCTCTATGTCGGGCATTGGCCTGCCCAGGAAGAAAAGAAAGAACGTGAGCTTCAGGATGGCACGCGACTGGAACGGCTTCCTGCTGCCAGACCGCTGGAAAGGGGACAGCCTCCGTTCCAAGCAGCTGGGAGAGACCTGCCTGCCTGCCGAGGGCCAGCGCGGGGGGGAGTGCT